ATTAAGGAGATATAAATCACTAGTGTAAATGAATGTAAGTTCTGTTTATGCTTATGTTTCTGTATTGACAATGACATCCCAAAATGTTTTAAAATGAATAAAAAATACATTTCTTCGGAAATGCTTTGATAACGTATTTATCATGTTTTACTGGGAACAAATTCCGCAACATTTTTATTAAAAGGGTACTCTGATTTTTATAAAGCATAAACAAAATCGGTCTTTTCTGGCCGTGAAAAATGGGGATGTCACAATATGCCTCAAACGTAGACCGAACCCTGGTTGAATAGAAGACACATACGGGGTTCGTGCTTAGAAACATATGCTTATTTAAAACATAGTTTATTTATAAATGCGGAATTTGTCCCACGAAAGTATTTCTGGAGAAATGTTTTTCAATTATTATTAAAAACTTTGGGATGTCATAACTGATACATGAAACATAAGCATGAACAGGCCTTACAGTATCTTAGACTAATAGTCTACATCTCCTTGAATTTCTCATCATTCATGTACCTTTGTATTGCTACCTGTGATACAAAGAAGGTGAGTGAGCCAGGTTGGGAAACCTGGTGAGTACATAGGGTTTTTAACCCACAATGATATAATTAATATGTTTAATTATCTATCAAACAATTAACCCAGTTACATATCCCCATTTTCTTTTATATTCATTTCTGTGGAACTATCCTAAAGATCATCGCCAACATAACATTTTCTTATATATTCATCGCTAAGGACTTCTCCTAAGGTTCATTGCCTAACATCGCATGGACAGTACTACTTCAGGGATTCCTCCATAATACATGTCAGTAGAGTACATCGCATGAATATGCGGTTCGTACATCGTCTGAACTCGTAATTCATCGCCTACAGGTTGCGAACCTGCCAATGTCCCACTGGACTGTTTAGATTAGTCTGTGGTCGTCATCTATACTCTTTTAGATGACTACATCGCAAACATCACAACTAAAAGTCATGACATCTCCTTAATTTTTATTGTTAAGGACCTATCCTAATCATATTTTGTCCCTCATCTCCTATCTCTCATCACCCATCACTACCCGATATATATATATATATATATATATATATATATATATAAGTACGAAAATACTTATATAATTGAATCGAGTAAAATCATGTCATATAGGTTCATCCAACATATATTGCAAATAATAGGCACACATAACATTTAGTTATCTAAATACTTCATATCTATGTGTAAGATGAAAGTAACTATGCACTCACTTGATGAAAGTGGATGCCTCGGGATTTGGGTAGAACTTCGCCTTGGTACTTTAGCTTATCCTCTGACGTGACCTAGCTTTATATTACTAAGTCTTAGTCTTATATTCCCGATGACAAATGATAGTCTAGATTTCTCACTAATCCCAATTTCTACATCAAGATCTATCAAGTAATGAACAACCAAGTAGGATCATATCAGTGGTAGCGTCCGTTTGGTATATATATTATACTGTTTGGATATCCAACTTTAAACACCTCACTAAATCCAGCCTAAACATCATCCCCGTAAGTAGATCAATCAGTATAATGACTTGGAATCACTAATAAATCTTATTTATATATTAATAATATCAACTATGAATATAAATCTAACTTACATTGAAAGTAATATGAGTGTAGCTTAACTTACAGAGATTTTTCTGACAAAAGTACAAAAATTGCACTGACAGAACTCCGGCCCGATAGCTTTTAATTACCGGGCTCCTATGGACCTTAGGGCTTCGCTAGAACTAATCAGTTTTTGTCTCTCATCTCCTTTCTCTCATCACCCATCACTACCTGTGATATATATATATATATATATATATATATATATATATATATATATATATATATATATAAGTACAAAAATACTTATATAATTAAACCGAGTAAAATCATGTTATATAGGTTCATCCAACACATATTACAGATAATAGAAATAACTAATTTTAGTAAAAGGTACCACTATAATCATTTACAGGTTTCATATTTGCAAACAAAAAAGTCTAGCATCTTTGAGGACTTTAAACAAACACTTGGTGTGCTTTGATTGTCAACTACTTTCTGCCCCATTTAGATCAATTCAACCACACATAATCTATCAAAATTGAAACCAGAGATCATTCTAAACAACATTAATTTTTAGACACCCAAGTAATGGATGGAATCAAAATCAACAATAGTGGAAGGCATTTCAGCAAAAAAAAAAAAAAAGAACAACAAAATTCCGCAACAATTTGAAGCATTTTATTTCAGCAACAATTCTCACAACAAATCTGATTTCACTCTTTCAAAAAAAAATCTGATTTCATAAGGCTGTGACCTGGTGGGGAAGTGGCCGGAAATAAGATGAGGCTGTGACCTGGTGGGGAAGTGGCCGGAAAGAAGAATGCAGCGGAGGAAAGAGGGCGGGGACCTTGGGGCTAACTCTGACGTCAGAATTGGAACAGGAGGAAGAAGACGGGGGCGGTTCTAGTCAGACGAAGCAAACAAAATTGGAACACTCTGCGAGGGGATATGTCTGCGCGTGGTCTGCACCGACGCAAACAAAAGTGGTCACGCAGATCTGCAGACAAAAAACAAACAACACCGAAGACTGATTGCATCGACGAAGGATTGTCGGCTACAACAGCGCCTGTGTGTGTGGCCATTTGGAAACATTGATTTTCTCTCACTTCAATATGTCTAAATTTATTTAGGGGTATAACTGTCAATGTACTGTCAAAATACGTGGATGGATCACAATTTACCATGACAAAACCAACTCCCTTCAAAAAACACTTATCCTAAAGACACAAATTGATTTTGAAATTCCATGTCACTATGCTTGATTTAATCCGTTTCAACACCGTAAAACATAAATTGTTGTGTATAGAGAAAAAATGTTGTGTACGAATTACCTCTCAAAAGGCAAAAACTAAAATATTGTGGTTGTTTAATTTGATTATCTTTCTATTTTCTCGTATTTAATTTAGTCTTACAAGTGTTATATTGGAGGATTATTTTGTAGAAAAGACATTATTTAGTCTTACAAATTGATCAATCTCAACATATTAGGACTTGCTACTTGTGTGAATTTTTCTTCAAACGGAACTACAAAAGCTCCCAAACACAAACATACGTCAAAACTCAAAAGAAGAGAAAGAAATTCTCAAATAATATTTTCTTTTTGCTCTTTTTACACTATAATACCTTTGAAATTGAAAAAGAAAAACATGACAGATTCTAAATAGAAATAAGGCTTTTTGGTAGTATATTTCGAATAAAGCCCAAAATTGATAATATGTGTTTCCAATTAAAAAAAATGCATGGCTATAAAGATTCTAACTTGCATGGCACCAAACAAGATATAATTAACTTTATACAACCGGATAAGCCTTCTTTATGCATACTTCTACGTTAAACTGCAAGTATCCAGAAGAAGGGATGGTTAGATAGTTCTTTTTAGGGGTATGTTCCTCCCGCTTTGCCCACACCTCTGCTACACTCTCCATCGAGAAACATGCCTCCGAGCATCTCACACTAAGTTGATACACAAAAGCCATCTTAAATAAGTTTGATCCTAAGCAATCAACATGGAAAACCCTTCCATGTCCATGAATCTCATGGTTGAGAATGAAGATCACCCCTTCATTCCGTTCTTGAAGAATTACATACTTTTGATCTCTTCTGAGACAAGGATCAAAGTTGGTGTCAAAGGTGAAAGAAGTAGCAGAAGATGAATGATGGGTGCTGAAATGGTCGTAAATATTCTTGGAAGAACTCGCAAAGCTGCAGGATGAAAGAGGACAGAAACATACTGTATGGATACATACTTGTTCATGTTGAGCTTTCATGTGGTAAATCAATGACTCTCTGCATCCATACGCCTTGTTTTTACAGTCTACTGTGATTGATTCGATTACTTTCTCCATAGCTCGACAACGATTGAAGCCAATTGGGAAGAAGCATGAAGGACACTTGAGGTTCGATTTCCTGCAACACGGGGAGCATGCTATGTGCCCATTCTCACACTACAATGGCAGAAACACGTTATGAATACAAGAGCGTAGCAGTGGTCAGATATTCAAATTCGAAAAGGGAAAGTATTAATTACCTGGTGGATTGGGGCGCACAATGGTTCCAGGCAGATCGGGCAATCGAGCAGGTCTGGATCGATGAACACCACCGGAAGCGGCGATGCAACCGGGCTAGAACTCCGTAATCCGCCATCAGAACTTGATAGTCTTACCGGAGTAGAAGCATTGGCATGGTGATTCTGATGTTGCCACTCCGCTATACTGTCCGCCAGTTCATCATCCTCGATTCCAAAATAATGCTCCTCTTCATCCTCACTTCCCGCCGGAGTCGCTCCTGAGCCCAAATCGGAATCTGATTCCAGCGGAATCACATCCTCCGCTTCATCCACCACCCAAGACGGATAGACTCGTCGTGGCGCTCGCTGTGGCTGAACCGTCTGCGAACGTGGTGCAGATTCGACGAACCGCGGCAACGTATTATCTACCCTGCTGAAAATTGGACTCTCCGCCTCGTCTTGGTTGCCAGTAGACGCCATTGAAGCAGAAGCTTGAAGCCACCTGACGATGTTTTGATTTCTGTCGTCTGCCATTGATTTTTGAAATATAAAGTCAGACACAGTCGCAACTGCTGTGTGCAGCGGCAGTTTTTACTTTTAAACCTAAGATTAAAATAGATTTATAGCGAGATTTCTAGGGTTCTTTTTTGTTGAATCATTATATTATGATCTTGATTTGTTGCCATATATACATTAGCAGATTACATTACATAATATAAATATAAATTTTTATATTATGATCTTGATTTGTTGCCATATATAAATACCAGAAAATCCAAAGTTCAAGAAAAACAATATAACCGAATCCATGAGAATGAACCAAAAAGTACACATAAACAGATTACATAAAAAGTTATTAACAAAGGGCATTTAGTCTAGGACCGGTCTTAACTCTTAGACTATAAGGCTGGAGGGACTGGTGCCACCGAAACCGTACTCCCTCCCCCGCCACATAAACGTCATGTCAAATTATACCATACAAGTGTGGTTTATTGCCACACTTTTATTTATTTATTTATTTTTGTTATTTTGTTAACTATTTTAATTTAATAAAACTTATTTATTTAATAAAAAAACATAATTTTAAAAAGATAATATTTCATTAATTAAAAATACAAATACCATACATTACTTAACTTAAAAAAAAACCTAAAAATTTAGAAAAACAAAGTAGAAACATAAAACCTACAACTTAAAAAAAACACACACACGAAACGATTAAAAACTTGAAAAAAAAAAAACTAGAAATTAGTCACGATTGATGTAACGATTTTTCACTTCCTCCTTCATCGCCAAAACCACTTCAAGCTCGGCCCCGGTCATATTCGACGTGTCCATCGCTAGTATTCGCATGTCGCTCTCCCTTTGTTTCCGAAGCTCTCTTTCAGAAGCAATTTTCAAAATCTTGTCCACTCTGTCTTTTATACCCTTCATGTCGGATCCCATTTCTTTCAAATCATCTGAATCTGACGCTTTGCCTTTGCCTTTGCTTTTTGATTTGTCTCTTCCCATTGGTCGGGAAGGTGGTGAAACTGGAACAGGT